CACGTAGGAGGAGGTTGTCTCCACGTAGGAGACCTGGTGTCCACGTAGGATCATGCTGCTATCCTCCGCGTGGGAGGGCTGCGTCTCCGCATCGCAAAGACATGGCACGCCAGGCGGCGACAGCGCAACGTGAAGCCACAGCGCAATGCAGGAAGTATCCCATTTCTTATATATCTATATGCATTTGAGGCATCTTACAATATCACGATACCCACAAATATACACACGCACACAAGAATGCATGCAACCACTCCCGCCCGGCCTCCACGTCAGCTCCGTCAGCCGCGCGTGCCCTCTCTGTTCGAAATAGGCAAACACGGCTGCAAACATGAAACGCAATCCAAGTATGCCAAACATATCGAAACTTCATTTAGAAATCTGTCATGAATACGTATACGTCTGCAATATGTATGTATATAAATTCCACCAGAACACCCAAACGATTTTTTCACCACAGCCGCATGTCTTTCACCTATTCTTTCATGTTGTAGCCGCGATAGGTCCAGCAGGACAAAGTGCAACCCTTCCTATAGTAACACTTGCTGCAACCGCCACAGTATTTGTGCTGCATTTCCTTTGGCACCCTTTCTTTGATCAGCCTCTCTCGTCGCACGTCGCGCGACTCACCCTCCTCCGCTTTCGGTACAGTTGCAGCAGCGGGACGGCGCAAACAAGCCGCAGGTCGCTTCTTCAAGACTTTGCTGACACTTGCTGGCTTTCTCATCCCGGATTTCTTCGCTGACTTCGAGCTCTTTCCTTCTGGCTGCACATCAGCGTGCAAAGCCGCCAACGTCGCAGCAACAGCTCCTTTCCCGGTCGGACCTGCGTCGCCACTTTCCTGGTGCACTTCAGCTGCAGGTGAAACAGCATCCTCCTCTTTCTTGTCTTCCAAAGCCAAGACACCGTGACCACTGGAGGCTCCGGCTGAGGAACTGTTTTCGAAGATAACTTGAAGCCAGGAAGCGGCAACTCCTCGGATGGCTTCTGCACCTGCAAGAAACCAGCAAAGAAACTTCCCATTTGCTGCATCATCTCTGATCCTCCGGCATGGGTTACTGCACTTGGGACCACAGGAAAAGTTTCTGCTGTAGAGCTTTGAGCTAACCTGTCCGTGGAGCGCATGGGCCAATCCCTGGCGCGTCTCAAAAGTTCCTCGTATGGCCACTGGCATGGAACAGGCAAGTTGTTCCCAAAGGCTCGTGTCAACAGCTCCGCCGGACATTCCTCTCGAGACTGCGGCAAAAGAAGCAAATGAGGCAGCTGAGATTGCGCGGCTGGTTGTTTCTAATATTTCTGCAAGTTGCCCTTCTCCCGCAAGTAAGCTTGCCACTGTTGCGTGCCCAGCATTTTGCCTTCTAAATCAAAGACCAAAAGAAGTATCATAGCCTGACTGGCTTCGGATGCATTCGTTAAGCCCAAGAGCTTGCAATGCTTACACAACCTTTCCAAGGCCACACCTCTCGTATCTTCGGACAAAGATTTCCACAGGCCCGTGGTCAGGTAGTGGGGAAGAGCCAAATAATCTTGCAATGGTGTATTCTTTTTTCTAATGCATCCTCCAACACCACTGCAGACTTCAGAGCATCCACATGGGAGCCCCATATGGAAGAATCCAAGCGCTCCACCAAGGCCGCAACCTGCTCCACGTGAAGCGGCGATTTGCTCATCTTCTTCAACACATTCTCCACTTGCTTATCTCTTGCCTCTGCGAAAGAAGGTAAATGTCTCACTGTTCCCAGAAATTTCTGGGATGCCAGAATGTGCTTTTCAAGCGCCGCTGCCATGCCGCAGCTAAAAAAAAAGGTGCAAAAACCATGCAGCAACCAGGTTCCCTTGATAGATAAACATTGCAGCAGAAAACGTAATCTATGTGCGCAAACTTTGGGGATGGAAATGATGAAGCTTCACCTATCATTTTTACATAAAAAACTAACTTCCTAACTTCATCCTAACATATTCCTAACTTTCAGTTCCAACATGCTAACATAGTTATAACCTCCTAAATTACTTATAAATGATAGAAAAACCATGAAGTTAGCACAAAGTTATGAGGTTACATGAAGGTTATAAACTACATTATAACCTCCTAACTTCCCGGCGATTCCAAAGTAAGTCTCTAGGATGAAGGGGTTTCAAAATAATTTCTTTTATGATTTATTTTTGTTTTTTTTACGATTTCCATTTATGATTTTTTTAGGGGTTCAAATTGTGGTTATGATTTGTTTTTTATGGTTTTGGGTACGATTAGGAAATCACCTATGATTTTCTTTGTTTTGGATATGTTTTTTTTTTTATGGCTTTGGATATGTTTTTTTTAATGGATTTGGATATGTTTTTTTACGTTTTTTTTATGGGTTTGGAAATGGTTTTGGCCAAAATCGTAAAACAAATCGTAAATTTCTCGGGTTTTTGGCTAAAAAACGATTCTATAGGGACCTTGGTGGCATTTACGATGTTTTTAATTTGTTTTTACGATTTTGGTACGGTTCCCCCCCAAAATCGTAAAGAAATCGTAAAAAAAAATGTAAATTTCTCGAGTTTTTGGCTAAAAACCAGGTTGTCGGGACCTTGGTTGCATTTACGTTTTTTTTACGTATTTTTCAATTTTGCTTCAAAATCAGGTTCTGTGGTGGGAAAGGGCTTCTGAGAAAGGGAAACTCTACCAAAATCGATTAAAATCAAAAATCGCATTCAAAACCATAAAAAAAACATATTCAAAACCATTAAAAAATTAAGTCATTTTCCCAACCATAAAAAAATCGTATTCAAAACCATAAAAAAAAAACATAAGTCATTTTCTCAACCATAAAAAAACATATCTGCAAATCATAGAAAAATCATACAAAAAACGTAAATAAAATTATTTGCCAAAAACGGCATCCTAAAGGAATTAAGAAGTCTGAAATCTACTGTAATCAATAGTTTTGGTAGAGACATGTTATCAAATCTCACCATGTTATCAAATCTCACCTTTATGGGCAAGGAAATGGCAACCCAGAGAAAAACATACAACACATATTCATCAATGGTGACAATTCTGATCGTTAAATAATACTTCTGAAGCTGGAAGAAATAAACCAGCTGTTTTTGGAAGAGCCCTCGTCTATTGTCTGGGTCAATTTGGGTTGGAGCCGTTGGAACCCAAAAATCAAACCCCTGGAAAACAGGAAAACCAACTATATAAACCAGCATAAGGGGTATGGTGGGGTTAGATTCTCACAAGTTTTTAATGGCCAACCTGATATTTCCAAAGTTGGTGTTCACAGAATGATTTTTTACTTTGGGGAAGCATCAACATGTTCGGTCGTCCCCCTATTGACAAACACTGGGTTTCCCCAGCTTTTGGCACAAACCCCAATCCGACGAAGGGAAATGGAAAATAATGCTGGAAACCAACCATTGAATCGAAATTCCGTAATTATTGTCAGTACTTGTTCTGCTTCTTGGTTAGAATAAAATCTGGCCGCCACCCAGGTATGCCCTGATGCATCGCTTCGTGGCCTCTACAAGGGAATGGATTGGGGTGATCTCTGGGAGGATGCAAATGTTTTGAGTGCCATTAGGTACCTCCGTGCTTCTAAGAAGCTGAACATGCCGGAAGAATGGAAACATATTCTTCTGGAAGGGCTCCAGTAGGGCTTAGCATCCCACAACCTTGACAAAATAACCACATAAAGGGGTCCAAAAACTCTGCGCCGTTTTTTGGTGGGTGCATCCAAAGCCAAGAGTCCAAAGCGTCCGAAAAGCGGTTTTTAGCGTCCAAAACGCTGTTTTTAGCATTTTGTGCTACAATTTCCCCAAATCAATCCACGCCGGGATGCTTAGCCGTGTTTGCTTCCCACAACAACATTGAAATGGTGGCGAAAATGCATTGCCTCCCAAATGGGTATCTAATCTAACATAATCTAACAATATTCCGAATATTGTTTCATAATTAAGCCAATCTCAAGGATCCAATGATCGCCTCCCTTTCAGTGTGGGCTTAGATGCCTATAGGTGGCTGATTGGACACTGTGCCGGTAGTTTGTGAAACATTGCACACACCACCACGGCGCTCTAATTTGTAATTACTTTTTTAGCCAAGATGCTGGAATCTGCCAAGACTTCTTCAAAAGGAACGCAAATTCCTGAGTTCCACATTGGTGACAAGTTCATGTCAACCTGTGATAACCTGTGTGTTGATTGTGATTTGCTATTTCTTCGTGACCTGTCATATATGGGCCTCCTCTTGCTATTTTGTCAGCAGTGCCAAGAGCGTAGGTGATTAGATTTGGGGGTCTTTGCAGGCTTGTGCTATGGAACCCCGGGGTGAAAGCAGGACTTTGTCCAGCAGCACCTTAGCCGCTGGTATGGAAGCGGTTGCAACCCAACATGTGAAGGTGGAACAGCAAACCGAGAAGGAAGCTATGGAACAAGAACTGAAGGACAGCTTGTTTTCTATGGTTTTGCTGAAACAAACAGTTTGAATTTCTAAGTTCGGGATGTGAATTTCACCCACCAAAGCTTCTTTCCTTAGAATGGTTTCCATGATTCGTCCTAATCATCGGGGGTAATATCCCACTGATACCTATATAATGGTGTATCCTAAGATCAGGAGCTTATGGGCCAGCGTGCAGCAGCTGTGGCTCTTTGGGCCAAGTCACCTGGCAAGTGCATCAAGAAGAAAGTGCTGGAAGCGAGTCCTGAGCAGCCGGAGAACGGAGATCAGGGTTGCCAGAAAGAAGCTGACATCCAGACTCCCCCGGGCAATTTGCTTGGGGCTTTGAATTCTGCTGATCCCAAGACTTCTGGTGTTAGTGAACCCAATGTCAGGTAGCAAAAAAAAATACCATTGATGTATCGGACCCTACTGCTTTTTGTTGGAGCTAACTGCTTTTACGTTTAATGGGTACTGGTATCTAAATCCCCTCCACCATCCAGGTGAAAGCTTCTGGAGCGACAGGTGATTGCCCTGATTCTGATGATGCTTTGCTGATCCAAGATTTGCAGCTTTGTTAGCTATGCTAAAGTTGGACCATGACCGGCTCATCGATGAGAATGTTGCGTTAACAGTTGAGATTCAGAACCTCAGGGCTACTCAGAAAAGCAATGGGCCCCCTTCTGACAATGATGATGGGTTATCGGATATCTCAACGGATGCAGCTCGAAAGAGACTGCTTCGCATGGTGAAACGCGCTGCTGATGGGCAGCTTGTTTGTTCTTTCAGCTATGTTTTATGTTGGCCAGACTGGTCTTTACATGCCTCAAAAAGTTACATGTGTTTACCTTTTAGAAGGTTTCAAGTAGATTGACCTGAATTTGGTGGCATTGTCTGCCCAGGTCGTTGCAAGTGCCAGAAGATATCCATAAGCAGTACATGATGGGTGGCCGTGCCGAAAAGGCCAAACTGCTCAAGATGTTCATTGACAGTGGTTTCGACAAGGCTCCCTGAACAAGCTATCGCATTCTTGGTTCATGTTGCCAGTCCAGACAATTACATATCCATTCCAACAAGCCTCCTACGACAAAGACTTTTATGAATAAAAAATTGAACTTATTGTGATGTCCATTGTTCGAAGTCAAGCTAAGAGACCCTTAACCCGTACTTCTGCAGGAAAAACAACTTTGAATGCGTTCAAGTGTTTCCGCTTCCAGGAGAGATTCATCCAAAATGTCCAGATGACCGAAGAGGACAAGGAACAGGTGAAGTTCAGATGTTGGGCAGGGTGGGCTTCAGAAGATAAAATGAGGGATGAACTGAAAATGAAGGAGACCCCTGGTTTATCTTTATAGTTTTTGTTATCTTATTTCCCTCGAAATTATGGGTGTAGCTTTATGGGGGCGGTTTTGCGATGTAAGTTTCTAAAGGTGCCCCTTAACAGGTATAGTCTAAATATAAAGGTAATTTTAACTCTTGTTATTAATTAAGGTCAAAAAGACATATAATAGACCAGTGATACTTGTTTGCCCGAAACCTCATGAATGATCCAAAATGTTCCTGTCAGGAATAAATAGATACTCCTTGCCATCTAGGCTGCGATGAGCCCCAGTATTGATTGAACATATTGAAGCTAGCAGAAGCTAGTTGTCCTCACCTTCGCCTAAGGAACCGAAACAAGGCCATCATGGCATACTGCCAGCAGAACGCAACCAAGCTCTGCAAGATCTTCGGCTGAACCATGATTTGTTCTGCGCTATATACCCAGGGTCCGGGGTATGATTCCCAGCCGTATGCGGGCGAAAAATCCCATAAGAATGTGTTTCAAGACCAATTCCCTGTTAATTACCAAGGGTACAATGATTCAACTCAATAAACCCACACTGAATTAGTGTTTTAGTGTTTTCTTTCCTACTGGGATGAATCACAACTGGTTAAATCCCCGGCTTCTAAGGTGGGACCGCTATGAGAACGAACAGCTTTATTGGATTGAGGAGGAGCTGGAGGCGGAATGGGCAAAAACCACAGCCAGGTCCAGGCGCAGTGAGACCGAGTATCAAACCAGCGCCGGGGCATCAGCAGCTTTTGAGTCATCCTTGGCTGGATTGTCCATGGCACCAGATGGGGTTCGGCCAGAAGGTCAGAGTTGTAAAACCAATGAAAAAATTTCAGTATAATGTTTTTAATGTAGGGGTAAAGTTCCGATGACCTTTCAATATCATACTCAGGTCTTGGTCCCCTGATACAGGCATGCCCACGCCAGCAGGGCAAGGGAATATGGCATCCCCAAACCCAGCACTACGTGCTGATGCTTCCAAAGTCATTTTCCCACCGGTCTTGAAGAATGAGAAACCCTCGACACATGTCCTACGCTACATGGATGGGCTGACCAAGAAATCAATGAAGATGATCGATACCTGCCAGAAGTATTGGATTGACAGGATTGTTCAAACAGTTCCAGGTTATGATCTTACAAACCGAATATTCATGATTAATCACATATGGGATTGTTACCGGGACCATGTGAAAATACACAAATAAAATCAGTATTATAGTTGCGATTACCAAATCTGTGCTTGCATGCTTCAGGAACTGAAGAACAAGTATGAGGCCATCCCAGATGCTGAGAAAACAGCGCCGCACAAGCAGCCCCTCTTTTGCAATGGATGTGGTCCCAATGTTTAGGAATTTTGCAGGAACATGTTCTGCAAAAAAATGCATCAGTGAAAAATAATCAGAAACTGTCCATGCATTGTCCAAAGATATATTTACGAAAGGGGTTTTTAACGACGTGGGTCCGCAGTAGAACCTGCCACCCCAAACAGATCCCCCCAAGGGTAGTTAGGTCTATCAACCCATGGATCTTCAACTTTGTTGACCTTGGGTTGGTAATTACAAACGGTTTTTAATGGAGTGCGCTCATGACGTCTCACTCTTTGACAGGCTGATCACCAAGATCGAAAGCATGATCACTCAGATGGACAAGTTGACGCATGAGATCAACGACGGCTATGCCGGGGGAGCCGTGGAGGGATATACTGGTGCGACACTTACCGTCATCCATCAGACACAAAAGAATGTGCACTTGTTATTTCCCAAATTTGCCTTTCAAATTAATGAACTGGATTTTTGGGTTACAGGAATGAATCCATTATGGCCCAAACTTGAACCTCAGGATGGAAGCCCAGTTGCGAGATAACTACAAGTCGGCTATGCGTATGTGCCTTCCTTCAAGAATAACTTCAAAATTTCCACGCAATCTTTTCCCACAAAAAAAAGGAAACATATGTTTAAAGGAGTTCTTTTGGCCCAGCTAAGGGTACAAGAGTCACTTACCCTGGAGCCCCGTGCCAAGTCTATCCCGTTGCCGAAGTGCAAAGCAGCCCCTAAGTCGAACCCCAAGTCAGCCGTGAAGGCGAAAGCCAAACCAAAGGCCAGGGCTCAGGAGCGGCTCAGGCTGAGGATGGGCAGGAAGAAGAAGCTGAACCTGCGCCAAAGCGACGCGCTGCCAAGGGAAAGGGTGGCAAGGGGAAGTGAAACCTCCCCTACCTGGGTTCCATGTTGACCTCATGTTGAGGAAATTGAATGGCGAATTTTTGGATTTCAAATACATTTCGGGGCGGGTGAAACTTTCCTGGGGCTTGTTTGTAAAACCAATTTGATTAAATAACATCATTTTACCCAGCAATGTTTTGACGGCCTTTGGAACACCTCAGCCTATTTGACTTTCTGACTCCAACTGTTGAGTCTTAGCTAGCGGCTTAGGGCGGAAGGTGCGGAAGATCACTGCACATGGCATTTGGGAAAAAAAAGGAATCCAGTAGCATGTTCGTCACTGATTCCAACTCAAGCCTGTCTTACAACAGCCTGTTGTTTCTGCAGTTTGTCTATTGTGGATGGTTTCTTACAACTTGTTCCTCCCCACTACCAAAATGTAACCAATCAAAACAGAATGAATCAGAATGCCAGGTCCAGAGAAGCCCGGCTATATGCTCAAGAATCTTGCGTTGGCTTTGGGGGATGGGGTGGTGACCTTAGAAGGTTGATGTTTCATCTTTGGGGCTGTTGGGAGAATGTTGGTTTCTTAAAATGGCAGATCCCCAAAAGGATAAGTTCAAAACTAAAAACGACCAATTTTGGATGGTTGGGGGTACCATCATGTTAGGAAACTTCCAATTTGAGCTCTGACCGCTCTGACCCAAGAAAACCAAATAAACCCCGGCCCCAGCACTCCGCGTCAAGGCAAGTGGCAGCCGAGTGAAACGATTCGCCCGTTCTGCAGTCGAAGAGTGCGGCCATCGACTCAGTTCAGTGGCGCTTCGCAGGGCTGCAAACACCCGTAGCATCAAAAATGCAGAGCGGGATTTACATGTGTTATTTCGAAACCTGGGTCTAGTTTTGCCATTGAAACCTTCATGCAAGAAGCTTTTTGACCAGGATTAACATTTTTTCTATGTCAACCCTGAATTAAGACACCATCAACTAAGGCCCACGAAATATAGTGTAGTGTTTGATTATTTTTGTTGGGTTCATGAATCATCCAACACAGAAAGGGATCATAGCCTTGAATTTTTGTTTGACCACAACCGACCAAAATGGAATGACACAATTTCTTGGTCATATGGTGGCATCAAATTTGGGTCGAGATGAGGTGGATTGTTTTTCCTTTAGTTTTAACACCAATAATTTTCACAATATATTGCAATAATTTATAATCCCATCCTCCTAAAATAAAACATCTGTAAATAGGTTTCTAAATGGTCCCAATTGTGTTGATTTTCCCTACTCATTATTAAGGGGAAGGAACTATTATCAATTATCACCAACAAATTTGGGCTACAACCAATATTGGAGAACTGCTGACTAAATCATGGGAATTAAATTTATTTGCCCACATCCCCATGTCTATGACCGGTATTACTTGCAACCACCATCAGCATGGGTCATATCTATTCCATTTTCCATTGGTCCAAAAATAAAAATCTGTTTTATTTATGAAATGGGCAAGGCCCTAAATGATAGAATGTAGACTACCCACCAAAACAAACCATAACACTACCCCTGTACTAAATTAATATAGTTTGTTCTCCAGTTGGCATCCCAATTTTTGCTGGTTCAACCCATTCTACGAAGATATTAAAATCCCAGGTCTATTCATGAAATGGGGAGGGGACCCCACATGGTAGAATTTGGATTGTCACCCCAAAGACCGATCATCACACCACCCCTATACTTAACTAATAAACCTTGTTTCCCGGTTGACATCTCTATTCCGAGGTATGGTTTGATCTATATCAACTACCTGAGTTTGACCAAGTGGTTCTCTTTCATTTTGAGACGCTACCCAAAGCTGCTCTTTGGTGGATTTGATTTGCATTCTGACCCTGGGAAGTGTAAGCTGCTTCTGGAATCGTTCTGGCAAAACTACCGGAAAACCTGTCCGGACCACAAGGTGTATTCTCAGCATTCAGGACTGGGGATGGAAAAATCACAAAGAAGTGAGGGTAGCTCTACTGAATTATATTGAATCAGTCTTACTACATTTTTCCCTTGTCAAGCCAAATCAATTTTCAACCACAAACATTGGACATGGTGCAAGTTTTCAAACGAAATCTCACTCTGACACTGATCAGGACACCTTTCACACTGTGTGCCGTTTTTCCTGCACCTTGACGAGGGGACTGGACTACGCAAGTCAGCTGTGCTGATTTTCTCAGCCCAAACGATTTTTGGGCAAGAGACTGCAATCAGATTTGAGAAAGAGTTTGGGGCCAGCCGGAACCGGTATGAAGCTGCAGCTTTTGCTGCTATGACCAGAGCTCAATTTCACAGCTCCAAGGGTAGTACTTACAAGAGACGATACTTGTACACGTGCTTGCCCAAGAGGTGGTACAGCAAGAAGAACAGCACAATCTACTTCAGGATTCTTCAGCAGCTGGCAGACGAATGCTTGGACCTCTTTGTTGATGGCGTCACAGTTGCAGGGCGCAAATACTTTTTTATTTGCCTTGGGCTAAAGGCTGACCAACCTGCACAAGCGAAGGCTGGGAAATTTAATCGGTCATTTGCAAACATGGGCCGCAACAAGGGCTGTTGTTACGCATGCTTGGCAGGACTGGACCTGTATCCTTTTGAGGAAGTGAGTGAAAGGCCGCGCTGGCTGGCTACAGTGGACAGCGTGATTCCTTGGAACCCTGCGGAGGCTAGCCCTTTGGTTTCCATCCCACACCGGCACTTTCAGTCAGCAACTTTTTTCAAAAGAGACCCCTTCCACTTGTGGAAGCAATCCATTGGTGGGCATTTCGTGGCTTGGTCCATTGTTTTGCTGATGGACCTTGGCTTTTTCAATGTGCAGGGTGATTCCAACTCCGTGGAGGCCTTGTTTGAAAGGGCATCATTCGACTTTGCTTACTGGGCTCGGCATGAATGGAGAGGTAGTGTGCGCCCGAACATGAAAGCTTTCACGCGCCAACTTTTCCATTTCAGCAAAGCAAGCACCTATCCTTTTGTGCGATGCAAAGGAAGCGATATGCTTCTTTTGACCAGATGGCTGAACCACATCTTGGTGAACGGTCTCGTTTTTGAAGATGATTTACTTCGGAGTGGTCGAGGCCTTCTGCAAGTTTGCCAAGCTGACCAAAGGGACTTGTTGAGTGCCATGTTTGCAGGAACGTCTGGGGCATTGACGTTTTTTCATATCCTACATTCATCTGGGATCTGTTTGGAGGTTAATGAATCATCGATCATGGCTCAGGGCTGCCTGTGTTTTTGCAAGGCCTACATGTGTTTGGCTACAGACTGTCATGGCCTGAGACTATGCAGGTATCATTTCGAGCCTTCTTTGCATGGTTTTCTCCACTTCTACTTCGAGCTCCGGGACTGCACATCGGTAGTCATGAATCCAGCATGCCAATCTTGCGAAACAGATGAGGATTTTGTGGGCAAGGTGGCCCGCTTAGCTCGATGTGTCCATGCAGGGACCACAACCATCCGGGTCATTGAAAGGATCCTGATCAAACACATTTCGAGTTGGAGGAACCTAATTTGTGAAGAGTTTTATTGGCTTGACAGGGCGAAAAAAATATCGTCCTGGGGTGCGGCCGCTTCAGTCCAAGTAACAGGATAGCTCTCGCAGAAGTGTAGGGCACCAGGCTGTTGAGCCATGGAATGTGGCATTGCGAGGGTATGGATGAGAGTTGCATATGAATTTAGTACATTCCCTTTCAAGAACATGTTCAACATTTAACATCTTATATTGGGGTAAGACGTGGTTTCAACATATTCAGCAATGGTGGGTGTTGCTGCGCCTTTTTTCCCAAATGGTGGTTAAAAACCCTAAAATTTTAGTAGAGGCCTAAAATTCAACCCCAAAACATCGAGGCCTAAAAGAAAAGGTGCAGCGAGACTATATATACATATATATATACATTATCTAATTTCAAGAGGAATGAAAAGCATGTTTTCTGATGATTCAGCACGGGTAGGTACATATGACACTTTCTATGGGTACGGTACGGTGGGTACAGTGGGTACGGTGGGTACAGGTGGGTACGGTACGGTGGGTACGGTGGGTACGGTACGGTGGGTACGGTGGGTACAGTGGGTACAGTGGGTACGGTACGGGGGGCACGGTGGGTACGGGGGGTACGGTGGGTACGGTAACGGTACGGTGGGTGCAGGTACCCACCGTACCCACTGTACCGTACCCACCGTACCCACCGTACCGTACCCACTGTACCCACCGTACCGTACCACCGTACCCAACGTACCGCACCCTTCACCGTACCATCATTTTTGAGGACCGAACCCCCCCACAGAGCATTACTCTTGAAATTTGATAATATATACATATAGAAATTTTCAGGTTTGCTTGCAGATTTGTAACACTATAAGAGCTGAAGAATCGATCTCTGCTCCAGGAGCTCTCGGCTCACTGTTCGTCATTTTTGCTGTGTAAAATGTCTTGCTCTTTTGCTGGTATTAGAATGGAAACTCACTTTACGATTTCTCTGACCGCCTTGCGCCTCTTTCGCCAATGTATGGAAGAAGCGTTTGGAAGCCCAAGGACGATTGACAGTCAGATTTCTCCTCGAGATTGGAAGGAAGCATGGATGTCATGTCTTGAGTGCTTGGAGCAGACAGAGGGCAGAGTCTATGACTCGGAAGGCGATGACTGCATCATCTTGGCCCGGGTCAGACGTCTTCTTCTATGCGTGGCCTTCATGGACGACTGGTCCCTTCTTGAGGTTATGGAGAAGAATGCAGCAGTGTTGCAGCTGGAAGCGGTCGTGCCACACGGAACCTCCTGGCGTGACTTTCATGCCTTCGTCGGCAGGTACCATAAGACTCAGTTTGAAACTGCTGTGGGCGACCTCGGCATGCTGCGTGCCGCGTGGGAGTCTGCAGCGGAGGTGTCGTTGCCATATGCCGCTTGGCTTTATATCGCAGAAGTGCAACTGGAGGAGACTTTCTGGACTTTGTGTCCGTCCGCGGTTGTCCGTAGTTGTCTGTGATGTTCGATGTGGCTGTTCCCTTGTCTTGGACTTGATCCGGATTCCGTGTGCAGTATATACCGTTTATAGCCAAGGGAGCTAGCTTTGGCTTGGATGGATTGACGCGCCGTGCGAAGATCTAGCGCCTAACGCGGCCATGTGACCGACAGAAAAAAAATCACGTTCATGACAGATCAGAGCAGTTTCTGTGCAATCGGTTGCCGCTGTTCTTGCGTTGCCTGCTTTCAGTGGGAGCTACATTACTGCACTTGCCGCAGTCGCTTGGCAGGTCCAGCACGCTGCGATGTCGTCATCTTTGCTAGTGCTGTTGCAGCTGACGGTGCTCATGTATCTGTTATCAATCTGTGCTTCTGAAAAAAAGTCTTCATGACAGCCGAAGTTTTCTGTTGTTCTGCCAGGTACCGACTTCATCTCCGTCTTCATCACGCCCATGCCGCCGCTCCGCTCGTGGAAAAAAAAGCGTGCCTGCGGACCTACCATACAAACATACATAAATACATACACATATATATAATTATATATATATATACACATTATACATATATATATATATGCATCCATACATCCATACCATACATACATGCATACATACATACATACATACACGCATACACACATGCATACAACACAACTTGTCCATACATACTCTTCCACACACAACTTGCTCCACACCAACCCTTCACCATCTCTTTTCCCTTTCCTGCTTTCCCCATGCCATCTATACCTTTCTTTTGCTGCTTGTTGGAAGAAGTTGACATGTGTGGTTATCCGGTCCTTTAATTCTTCATTTTTGCGGATACGGAGAATCAACAATCCAATCAGTCTTACAGCCCCTGAAGACACTGAATGCACAGATTGCTACTGGCATGTTCTACTTGTCAGGTACCATCCAGAGATTGTGTATTCAGAACAATGAAATTTGCTGGAGGAGTTTAGAGAGAATGTGCCAGAGCAAATGCTCCGATCAATCAACGGACGCTATCGTGGTGTTCCGCAAAGATGCACAAGTCATTGATTGTCCTGGCCCCGATTTCTTCACAAACCATCCCAAACCAAGGTATCAATGACTTGCGCTTCGCTTCGTTGGCTGGGGTGAGCTGCATATTGCATTGCGGCAGCATGTGGCATAATGTGACAGCATGTGCCGGTGTGCGACGGCTAAAATCAGCAAGTAAATGTTTTTTGCCGCAAACACCTGAGCTACAGACATGGGTGCGTATATTCATTGATATCATATGAGTTCATATTATAATGATATAAAATGATACAAAATTATGGGGTCTTTGCATTCCTGGCCGTCTTGACCTTGCTGACTTTGCTTTCAGCATCTTTCGGCTGAGGTATTTGATTTGTGTGGTGGGCTACGTTTTTTCTCGTTCGCACATCAGCCCCACCTTGCGCGGCCTGGAAGCCTTGGAGCCCAAAGGTGGCATCACAGGCGCGGCGTTCAGACAGCTGAAGCAATGACTGAAGCGTTGTGTCCCACAGCCTTGGGAAGAGACACGACGATTTTATTTCACGATTGTTCCATAAATGCTCCCTCCAACTCTGGCCGAGGCATATTTAAGATGCTCTCGCTTTCCATTTTTGCCTTTTGCTGCCAGTCTGTTTGCCAAGTGTGAAGTTGATATGTTTTTGCAGGCACTTCGGAACGCGGGAACTTCTGGTTTTCAGCAGCATAAGAAAGGGGTTTCATACAACTGCATAGTTATAGTTGTTGTAGAATGTTGTAGATGTTTTGTTGATTTTTTTTTGGCATTGCATGTTCTGGGCTGAGGCCAAACGTGCCATCGATCTATACCGAGCCCGACACTTATAACTTGTACTTGTTCATTTTGTTCCCGAAAGCTTCCTTGGCCATGCCTCTTGACATTGCTACTATGCTTCATTATTGGATTCTCAAAACTGCCAAGTATGCGCCTACTTCATCCTGATTCCACTCTTTACTGATCAAACACGTCTGCAGCAGAGCAAAAGTAGAGTTTAATTGCATGAGGTTGGAGCAAAGAAGTTACAAACGTATGCAGAAGGTCTCTCTCCGTGCAGGGCACAGACTGGTTCGTGTGCACGAAGTGTTTGATTTCTTCGAGCGAAGATCTCTGTGATATAGCGAACAATGCTTTGGTAGGGTGAGGCTTCGAAGCTAGCATTGTGCTTGCGCAGGCAGACAAACTGTGGCGACATGGCAGCTAAAATATACTGAATGAGGTGCAATGCTGCTCTGCTGCTTCGTTTACTTGTTGATGGGTGTTCGGTGACCCAGTAGATGCAAGACATGCATTTCCACGACCCTCAGGCGACGTGTATAGTGACTAAACTTGAAGCAGTCATGCATGTGTCGCAACCTTGTGCAGTCCATGGTACCCGTAATGCCATGCAACATTGCCATATTGAAGCTGTACTTATCTTCGATGCGGATTGGGTTTTCATTGTGATCTCTTAAACGGAGAGGTGCCATATAGGTCCAAGTGCTTGTGCCTGACGCTCGGAACATGATTCGAACATGGCAGAATCGGATGGAACAGGAACCACATGGACTCACTTTAAAACTTTAAGGTCACTGGCTTCTTAGCCTTCGGCGAAAACACCAACGGCAATGTCCTGGGCAATCTTCAGTATCTTGCTTCATGTGCTGTCATGATGATGTCATGTTGCAGATGAATTGAAGCAATGGAACGCAGCGCTTTGAAATTTGAACTCCCCCAGAGTAGACAAGTCTATTTTTTGCATGTCTTTGCAAGCTGCTAGTTTGTTGGTGGCATATGCTAGTCACACTCGAGCCGCAGAGTGTGTTTGGCAGATCAGAAAATGTTCGGCCGTCACATCTCACAAGGCCGATGCTTTGCGCCAACGACTGGATTGTGCGCTCTGGTGTGGCTGGTATGGCTTTTGCAGTGTGCGGCCTCAGGTCATATAGCTTTGGGACTGTAGCTAGTGGAAACGCATGGATGGAAAAAGAAATATGATAGGCTTGCAAGCAAAGCAACTGCATAAAGAGAGAAAATTTAAGTAATACTGTAGTCCGGCACCAGGAAATATCAGGAATTCGGAATACTGCATTCCGAAATTGAGCAGATGATGATAGCAGGTTCCTTTGCGGAAACAACGTTCCCAGTTTTGTGCACGTATAGGTATGTGTGGGTGTGTCTCACTGATTTTGATAAAGCATGAAAAGGTCAACTCATTTCCGGACGGTCTAAAAGTCTAATATACTAATACCATAATGTGCCTTTGGAGTACAGCGAGGTGACCATGGCATATCCGCTGAACATTTTCCCAATCCGTTTCTCAGCCGGATCCTTAGGGCTCCGCTGCATAGGAAACCTCTCCCAAAGCCTCATGTGCCGTTTACAGAATTGTAGGCGCACTGTAAAGGAACAAACATGAACAAACAAATCAATCAACATGGTCAATCATGGCCATTTACTGTATATTTGCAATATTTAATCAATATCAATACCTAATCAATATTTAATCAATGTTTAATCAATGTGATACGCATTCTGTATATATATATATAAATATATATATATAGTGAGGTTTTTTTGAGATTCTTCCACGATGCGCGCAATGCCGTTCCATCACTGATCAGTAGACTCCTCACCAAAGGTTGAGACAGCCCTCTTCTACCACAAGCCGCAGCTGGATCTTCCAGGCATGCGAACAGGTGCGTATCTTAATCAAGACGGAAGCGGGAGGGAGAGAGTGCCAGAGCCCGGCAGCCCGTCTACATTAATTTCATGTTGTTGGGTGGATTCACAATGACTGAAACCTTCTCCTTTGCAAGTTGCACATTTTTCTTTGAAGGATTCGCAAGCTTACTGGCCAAGTTACTTTTTTCTTTGTATATCAGATCTAATTTTGAAGTATGTTTTCTCTTTTCTGCAGCTCGGCTGAGCATCAGGCATTGCCGTGGTAGCAGTGGCGTGCAGCCTTGTGGTAGCGATAGCTCCTTGGTCCGCAGGTGGAGGCTGTGTCCACTATCCCACAGGAGGTGTTCCCCGGCCAGGCGTTGCCCCAGATCAACTTGGTCTTTGAGCTCATTGGGGCTCCGCGCTCACCGGCACTCACCTGTCAACTTGCAGTCCCGACACCAATTTTGACCCAAGTGTAGCAGTGTGGTGTTGTGGAATGTAATTTCGTTGCACTACCTAGCATAGTATGATCCGCTTTTTGCATCTTTTTGTATCTTTTCGTGATTTCCGATGGTTTTCCATGCTGGTGCACTGTTAGGCCACTACTGGGAGCTTCGTGTGTTTTCTTGGCACGGGGCCCTGGTCAAAAAGATACAAGCAGACAGAGAACACAGGTGCAACATGGTGCAACTTTTATGAGCAGTGCACACAGCGTATCCTATTTCAGGTTGGTGGTTTCAAATGCATTAGTTATATATTATATATCATTTTCATTTAATTCCATCTCTGGCTGGAATGATGATTCTCCATTGATTCAATAATTTTTGTGGGATGGAGTGAAACCACCACCCAGATTACATGAGTAGGAGGAATCTATTCAAGGCAACCGCTGCGTGACGTGCTGTTCCGTGCCGAATGCATGGTCATTAGTCATTTCCATGACATGTTTTTTATGTTTGTTTATTCCTCAGCTCAAGCCCTACAAAGCTTGGATGAACTGATGGAAACAGCAAAACCGCTACTTGAAGGGTTTTTTGATATTTGAAAGCTCATTCAGAAGAAAGGAATGCCTTGCAGGCCTTGCGTTAAACTGAGGTCCGGGCCTCCTCTTCCACCGACTTGTGTCCCTGTGCAGCAGTGCTGGGCGAGTGTTTGGTTTTACTCCCCCAAAACGAATGCATGTGAGTTCTGTGGCTTTGGGACCAAGAGTTCTCATATTCAGGGGAGTGACCTCGGAAGACTTTCACTGTTCAATATTACATAAGCGTACATTGACATAAGCATGTTATCGAAGGAAGTTTAGAAGTCAAACTTCCGACAATATGGACAGATGAAAAGCAGAGGTGGAGCAGAAGAATAGAGAAGAGAAGAGCAGAAGAGAGAAGATCAGAGAAGAGAAAGAGTCAGAAGAAAGAAGATGCAGGTGCCCGAAAAGATAGGAAAGTCGCGAAACACTATGTTTTTCCAGTGATTTGAGGCTCCGGAGGGTCGAAAAGTAGGCTCGCTAAAGCGGCGGGTGCGGAGCCAGCTGGACAGATGAGAGATGAACAATTGCACGCCGTTGTTTTGAAGTCAAAACGTACAAAACACACCAGGTCCGGACCACTTTTGGAAGTTGAAATGTCGAACAAGTGCACGCCGTTGAAGCACATTTTGGAAGTCAAAATGTACAAAACACACCAGCTCCAGCTCCGGACCACTTTTGGAAGTTGAGATGTTGAAAAGTGCACGCCGTTGTGGTGCGAAGCGCATGTCGAAGTCAAAATGTACAAAGCACACCATTTTCCGACCATTTTTGGAAATTGAGATGTCGAAAAAGTGCACGCCGTTGTGGCGCGAAGCACATTTCCATTTCAAAATTGTAAAAGCACCACATGTTCGCGCCACTTTTGGACGTTCAGATGTTGTTTCGCGTGGCAGGCGCAAGGGATTGTGGACCTTGTCAAAAGTGAGCAAAACGTGAGGATTTTGTAGCATGTCCAAAAACGATGGCAGGCGTGGGACATTTGAAGAGGATCTGCAAAGATGCATTTTCTGTGGCAGGTGCAGCACTTCGCATGACCTTGCATCACTTCTTCGTGGCAGGTGCAGTAGCTTAGACACATGGACTGGAAAAATCGCAAAACCCATTGGTACGAGGCCGTCAACTCTGCACTCAACTTTCCCTTTTTGAAGGACGTCTCGCAGAATTGCTTCGTTTTTGATGTTGTGAAATTTAAAGAAAATAGGAGTCTCGCAGAAGTGCTTCGTTTTTGATGTTGTCAAGCTCAAAAATTGAGGAAGATAGATAGATAGATTAGATTAGATTAGATTAGATTAGATCAGATTAGACTAGATTAGATTAGATTAGATAGGATAGATAGATAGATTAGATCAGATTAGATTAGATCAGATTAGACTAGATTAGATTAGATAGATAGATAGATTAGATAGACTAGATAGATTATATAGATTAGATCGATAGGATAGATAGATAGATAGATAGATAGGTAGATAGATAGATAGGTAGATAGATAGATAGATAGGTAGATAGATAGATAGATCGATAGGTCGATAGATAGATAGATAGATGGATAGATAGATCGATAGGTCGATAGATAGATAGATCGATAGATCGATAGATCGATGCATTGATAGATTGATAGATCGATAGATAGATAGATATAGACAGATAGATAGATCGATAGATCGATAGATCGATAGATCGATAGATCGATAGATCGATAGTTTGATAGATCGATAGATTAGATTAGATTAGATTAGATCAGATTAGATCAGATTAGATCAGATTAGATCAGATTAGACTAGATTAGATTAGATTAGATAGGATAGATAGATAGATTAGATAGATTAGATAGATTATGATTTGCCAAAGTAGGTGTAATGCACTTTTTGTTCTGTATGGAATGTACTTGGTTGGCAGTTTCGTCTTGTGGAAGTAATAAGTATCTATAAGTATATTATAACCTATCTATAACATAGTAATAAAGCCTTACAAGTGCTGTAAGTGCGATAAGTTTAAGTTCTAGTTATGTCAGTTGTAAGTGACATATTGTAGATCTTAAAGTTATATAACTATTTATAACTTCTAAAAGTTTTTAAGTGTGATTTTTGGAAACTGTCAAAAAACCAAACCTGAAAACTTATAAAAGTTATAGAACTTATGCAAAAACAATTGCTTTTTTTTTGTTTTCTTAGGTTTTTGTTGGTTTTCTTGCTTTTTGTTGCTTTGTGACATTTAGCGTGCATTTTTTGCGCCGCGCTGCGAACACTGGCAATACACACATGGAGCTGCTGTATTCGGGGGCATGTCATAATGACAGTGCCCTTTTGCCTAGGTTCTTTCTTTGTGGTGGACATGTAGATACGCAGCAGCGTTACAAACAGCAGGGTTGCTGCATCTCCGTTTCATACGGCGGATTTTGATTCGCCGAAAGCATGGACAGCGGTCTTGGGATCGCTTAAAAACGAAATATAAAGCATATATATGGTGATATATATATACATATGAATTTCGCGGCTCAAGAGCCGGGTGTTTTAAATTGATAGGAGTAGCGGAATGAAGCGCAAATATTTGGCGGCTTCGGATCCGCCGGATGGATGGTGTGCGGTTCTGAGGGACCGCACGTATGTACAAAAAAATCCTTTTATATTTCTATATATCTATCCTTATGGCGGCCCTTGTGAGTCGCCTAATTTACATTACGGCGGTTCCTGTGGACCGCCTAGTATGTAGCGGCGTCGGCGCCGCTGAGAATCTACGGTTGGCGGTTATTTAGGACCGCTATTTAAAGGCGGCTCTTTGAGCCGCTAAAGGGGCGCAAACATACCTTCACATGCAGGTATAGTTCGCCATGGTTAAGATCAGATGATTTTTTTGGGACATCTTATCGTTGTAGCCACTGGTCCATAGAGTATGAAGATATCTGATTGTATCTCAATATATCTGAATGTATCTAAATGTATCTAAATGTATCTTTCGAAACCGGGGTGGAAAGATACAAAAAGATACATTTAGATACATGTATCTTTCAGATTTTTTCAAAAGATACAAAAAGATACCAAAAGATACATGTATCTAAATGTATCTTTTTGTATCTTTCACCCCGGTTTTGAAAGATACATTTAGATACATTTAGATACATGTAGATACGTTTAGGTATATTTAGATACATTTAGATACATGTAGATACATTTAGATATATTTAGATACATGCAAACACATGTAGATACAGCTCAACAGAAAATCCATGCGTGCATATTGCTCTGGATGTTCCAAACTTGAGTCGACGTTGTGTCCAACAATGACCCGTTATAAAATCGTTGGGTGAAACCGATTGAATCCAAAACGTGGCAAGAACAGTCAGAAAAGTATCCAACTATCAGAGAATCATCTTTCAAACAACAAGCCTTTCGGTAACAAGTCTGAGACATTTCAACAAAAGGATCTGCAGCGTGGATATATTGTCATGATTGGCTTTGTTGGATATTTTTATTTAGATTGTTTAGATAACATATATTTGGTTGAAAATCATGATTCTGTGAATATGTTACCATTCATTTCATTAAGGTCATAAACATACGAATTGAACAAAGACATCTTGAGAGAGAACTTCTTTCTGCAACGCATTTTCACCCAGAGATTCAACAAGTCACCTCAAATCTTTGTGGCTGTAACATGAATGGCCAGTATGGCCCACCTTATGTCTTGTGCATTGGGCGTCACACCACCGACAGCGAAACTCACATTGAGGAGGGTCTCGTATATAGTACATGTCGCGAAAATCAATCTCAGATGTACGTACATGTCTTTTATCTTGGTGGAAAAAGTTCCATTTGTAAAAAATGATTTGCAAACAAAATCGAACATTGAACACACTTTTCCAACAAAACACAAAATTCTCAAAAAAAAGCGTTGAAATGATGCTTCGCCTTGTTTTCGAAAAAAGTCAAATCGAAAAACTTAAAACGAACTTATAAAAGTTATATCTACTTATAACAACTTATTGAAGTTATAAAATTACAAGTTTTTCCTTCATTTAATAACTTCAATAACTTTTTTAACTCTACTTATATCTTGTTATAACTACCATATCTACAATAACTACTTATTACTTCCACAAGTCCAAACTGCCAACCAAGTAGGGTACATACAGTGTCTGGGTACGGTTTAAATGATGGTACGGGACGGTGGTACGATGGAAGTGGTACGGTTAAATGATGGTACAGTACGGTGGTGCGATGGAAGTGGTACGGTTAAATGATGGTACGGTACGGTGGTGCGATGGAAGTGGCACTGTCAAATGATGGTAAGGTGGTACAGTGGTGGTGGTTCAGTGGTATCTGGTACAGTACGGTGGCATGGTGCGATTGAATGTTGGTATGGTAAATTGGTGCGGTACAGTGGTGCAGTGAGTCGTTTGTGTTGCGGGATGAGATGCTGGTGCGGTACGGTGTTTTTGCGATGTGTTGGTAAGGCACGCGGGTGAGATAAGATGCTGGTACGCTATGGTGCTGTAGCATGATGTGGCATGTTGGTGCGACGAGATGTTGGTAGGGAATTCTGCGGTGCACTGTAATGGCGTGGTGAGATGTTGATACGATACCTTGTGGAAGATAAACATCCCAAAGCAAAAACCGGTCAAAACTGGTGCCCAAAACAATGTAAAGGAGAGAGTGAGCTGGGGTAAAGTAATATTGATGTCTTATGGTGTCTTAAATAAGGGGTTGCCATTGAGGGGGATTTAAGATTTATAATGGTTTGTCTTTAAGTCTATGTCAATGTAGGTTCTAAAGATCGGAAATTGTTTTGCGCACATTGGATTGCGGGCACACAGTAAGACGCATCGTCTTTTTGAAAGAGCATGTCTCAGAATAAGAGGGCGTCACACTTGCCCGATTGCCCGCATATTGGTGTGCAACTCCAAGAAACAGTTCAGTGTCCTGTATCCTCTTAAGAAAGTGCAGTATTTGACCTTTGAGAGAAGTAAGATTATTGTATAATTCTTGGTTTTGATAAGGGAGTTCAACTGATCATTCCTTTTTGACTATACAAATTTACATGTTATTTAGATATGCCCAAATAAGATAGGCATACTCAGTACTCAGTATTCCAGAAACAGCG